ATCTACAATAAGATCCAGGAGGCACGTCACTTTTCCATATTCGCGGGGCTTCATGGGGCAGTTGCACGGGAAAGCGTCGTTTGCGACGGCGGCGCTGCCGTTCCTGAACAGTACGTCGGAAGAGCAGTGACGCGACTGACGGGGTTCGTTCTGTGTGCAGTTTCCGAGAAGGACGTCAACAAATGCTGGGAATCGTTCAACGACGTGGCGGAAGGCTTTGGTATCAATCGCATTGAGATGATCGACATTTGCAGCCCATTGCAAGATTCGTTTGAAATCAAAGCGAAAGCAGAGATGGAGCGGATCACGGGCCTGCTCTTTGACGCCATGGATACTGACGAGGTAAGTGGATGCCTCTTTGTTTTTCGTCCTTCAACGTCATCCAACACGTAGAATGGGCTCGTGGATGCGCTGGAGTTCCTCGGGGCACTGGCGCTCTTAAGCGCCATGACGATACCTCAGAAGATTACATTCGTGTACAACTGCTATGACTTCAACGAAAGCGGCGAAATCACCATTGACGAGCTTACGTTGGCGATGAAGTCGACTCTCACCGGTCTGTGCAAGCTCTCTATCGGGCGCTCTTGTCCCACCGAGCTCGTCCTCGAGGAAATCGCGTTGTTTGCGTTTCGCAAAGCAGGTACAATCGCATATGGCATCATGTGCGATCGTGATTGCATCTGGCCAGGCAAGCACCCCGACAAGTGCATCACGCTGCCCGAATACATTAAATACTGCGAAACAACGCCCGAGGTCAACACGTGGGTGTGCTTTTTCGACGCTCCTCGCGACTTGTCGGACGAACATGACATTGGAGACAGCGACGTGGATGTGGAAGCGAGCATTCCGATCTACTCACGCTCCCACAGCGCCAACATGGACGCCGACGCTCCAAACGACCTCGTGCACCAGTACGCGGCCAACGAAGAGCCTGCGTTGACACAGCCATGGCAAAACACAGGTTGCAATCGATCGCGCTCTTCAGTCCCGTGACGAGGTCGTGTGTCCTGTAGTGGCAAATGCTGCCCCGACCGCTGTTCCTGACAACCCGATCCCGTTGCCAAGCATGGCGCTCGACTGGATTTACGGTAGCGTCCCATCAAGTCGTGCGCTGGTGCAGGACATGGTCCGCATTGTAGGCATGAATTCTGTACTGCGGCAGTGCGTCGACTACGTGTCCACCAACGAAATCATCTACCCGGCGGCGTCGGTCGTCGTTTTGTACGATCATGTCGAGCATAAACAGCGGTAGGCAGGTCGACTGGTTGTTGTGCCGCGCCCCCACTCTCTGTCGATGTAGGTACTGCCAATACCACACCGACCTCGTGTTGAGTGTTGCGGTCCATCCGAACCAGTCGGTCGTGGCGACGGGCGAGCGAGGATCGCGCCCGCGAATCTGCGTATGGGAGGTCCAGTCGCTGCGTCTCCTATGCACCTTGCGCCATTTGCACTCGGTTGGAGTCGGCCACTTGGCATGGATGCCAGATGAAAGGTACACGGGAGCATCCGCATCGCGCGCCTTATTGTTGGTGTCCTTGCAGGACGCTGCTCTCGTTGGGCAACGATGCGTACCACACGCTGGCCATTTATCAGTGGCCCACGTCTGCGTTGCTCGGGCTCCCGCAATTGATTTACACGGAGCGGACGTCTCGATACCGCGTGCTAGCCATGCAACCTGTCACGTCCTGTAAGATTGCACTCTCGATTATATTCGATGGACGCTGACATGTCCCGGGGCTCGTCCAGCGCTCTTTATCACGTGCGGCCAGCGCCACATCCACTTTTGGTACCAGGACAGCATCGAGAGCTCGCCTGGCGTCGTATTTCATCCAAAGCCGGGGGTGTTGGGGAAGAAGGCCAAGATGCAGACCCTGCTTAGCGTCGCCTCCATCACGGACAAGTTGACGTTGTCGGGCACCGTGCGTGGCGAGATTTGGCTATGGGAAGGGCGCAACGTCGTCAAGGTAGCACTGCATGGAGGAGCTGCACCGTTGACGTCCGAGTATGTTGCAGGTCCTGTTTGCCCATGCAGCAGCAGTAAACGTGCTGCATGTGTTTTCCGGGGGGGTTGTGTCTGGCGGAAAAGACGGGAAAATCCGCCTCTGGAGCAAACGGATGGAACCTGGCGCGTCGTTTGATATTGTCGGTACGGCGATGGAAAAGCAAAAGGCGATTGATTTGTGTGTTGCGAGCGCAGCGCTTGGGAGCTTTATCGGCCGTGTTCGGAGCGCTGTGACGAATGGAGACGCGACGAAGCTGCTGATTGCGACGGGTGGGGCCGAGATTTTCGAACTGAGCGCTTCGGACGG